ATCCTAAACCCCAATTTCAAAAATCGGAGGTTTACGATGGTCGTACGTATTTGAAAATCCTACCGTGCCCTACAGGGCAAAAAGGCATTCTACTCAAGATCCAAATGAAGATAATGAACTAATCAGTAGCAGTACTGTGCGAGTCTATTGCTGATATATCTCGTTGCAGCAGTAAGTGATAGTACTGGTTGTACTTATTCCTTCCGGATGGGTTTTCTTGCATACCCTGTATCGGTTTTTGTGTATACCAATGCGGGATTAGAACTGTTTCTTGCTAATTTTGCACGTGGGTATTCCCACGAAAACGGACAAAAAACGGCATGCACATGCAGTCCGGATCGGCTTGCACATGGCTTGTATCATTCAGTTATCTACGTTGCAGTATAACAGGAGACTTGTATTCGTGACAGTATAACTCGATATGTACTCCAGCATTGGAGAGCATTGGAGTGTATTAGGGAACGCGGCAGCAGGCCCAGGGAAAGTATACGCGAAAACCGAAGAACAGCAGCTCACAGCAAGTCGTACAGCTCACAGCAAGCCGTACAGCTGCTGCTTTGCTCCCCCTCATACTTCATTCAGCGACAATACTGCTAACTCAGCAGTATTTCAACCATGCTTAAGGAAACCAACCATTCCAGTCCTTCGACCATGGCGGTGTTCTAGTAACAGTAAGTGCATCATCGTTGCGTGTGTTGCTGTATTTGTCGAAGTGCATCGTTGCGTGTGTTGCTGCCGATGCGACGCTGCGTTTTGTTAATCTTTCATCGTGTATTCGCATTATATTTTGGTGGGTTGGTAATTCAATCGAGTTGGTTACTAATCTTTGTTAATCTTTGTCACTAATCTTTCTTTTTCTGCAGCAATCGACCATGGGATTCACCCAAAGATGTCGTTCCCATGGGGGGATATGTCGCGTCCTACGTGGAAGAAACCCCTTGCAAGATCATTCTTCTTGTAGGGTTCTTCCGGATCAGTTGCTGCCGGCGTCCTCATGAAGGTTGATAGGATCTGGTTGTGCCCTACAGTACTACATTGGTAGTTGTAAAGGTTGACCAACAAGCTCATGATGATCTTCCTGTCTCCATGCTCCTCCAAGAACATCCTGTCTTTGATTCGTGGAAACTGTCCCTGGATCATCCTCATCCCCCACTCGGACATCTGTCTCAGGGAAGTCGCGTCCCTATTGATTAGTAGGAGATCCTCCTGTTCAGGGTCCTGCTGTGAGCTTTTGATTAGGATATCCTCCTTTTCTTTCAATGCAAATGCTGAATCAACAACAACCTTTGCACCATTACAAGYGTTATGGACTTCCTCAATCTTGTSGTAGACGCCATGGTCTGCAATGGCRCTGTCGTGCCAAGCCCCTGGACAGTTGAAGACTGCAATCCTGATTCTGCCATCAGGAGCAAAGACAAACACACTGTTGACAAAGGTGTTCTCCTTCCAAGCATTGTAGAAGGCTCTCTGTTTGAACCAGTCTTCAGAGGCTTCAATGGCACTCTTGAGACCATCTGCGGCAGCCCAGACYCTCTTTTCGCCAAGCCTTGGATACTTGTCTCCAACTGCCTTAACATAATCATCTGCTTCTTCCTCTGTTGGGACACTCACCATGGCCTCTGGATRTTTGTGGAGAGCAAACAGCATCACTCTCCTTGAAAACTTGAGCCACTTATACATCACTGTGGATGTTAAGCCAAAGGCCATGGCCATTGACCTTGCAACCGATCCTCTTGTCCTGTACCAGTAGAGGACAAGCCCTATTGCACAGACTGCGTCAACCTCCCTTTTCTTCCCTTTGGGCTTGCCACTGGGATAACAAGGAACTTCAACAATCTCATTGTTGTTGTTGACAGTAAACTTGTTCCATACTGGGGCAAAGACATCCACGAGCTCGCGGAAGACCTTGTGATCCAGACCACAACAGTTGAGTAGTGCTTGGTTGTCTCCTGAGTGGAATAGATGGAGGAAGGGGGACTGAGCATATCTCCTGATTGCAATCCTGGGGGTTCTCCTATCCCTCCTTTGACGCTCCTCAGGAGAGAGCTTCTTCTTGTAACTTTGGTTATTCAGCTGAATGTACCAGTACATTGTAACGACCTCCACTACTCCCATCTTGCTAGGAGGAAACTGTTGTCTTTTGGTGTGTTTGTTGTCAACTCACGGGGTACTAATTACTAGCGTAGAACATGAATTCATTTCCTGGTATCGAATGAAATAATAAGCAGAAACTGTGTTCATGTTTTACTCTAGTGAGAGTACTGGTGCTATCGGTGCAGCAGAGTATAGGTGCAAATTTTCATGTTTTTCTTAGTATCAAATTGGCGCGCGCGCCTATTTTTCGAGTATAGATAAGATTCCGGATTCCCATTTAGAGTTGATTGAAGGCGGGCTGTCTCTCAGCCTGTCCGTTGAAATTCTGATTCCCGTTATTCTAAAACTCTACTTTAGAGGTTTAGAGTTTTAGAATAACGGGAATCACCCATTACTACTACTACTAGTACGTACCGGTAGGATCACAGTTAATTTTGAAGCCCATTTTTTTTCTTTTGAGTACTACCAGATCCTACATATATCTATATATAGTTACTTCCTTCGAGAGATAGAAACAGTGTACTTTAATAGGACAATTACTAGAACTGCTCAAATATGGCCCGAGAGCAACTGGTCTTTGGGGATATGTTTGGTCAAAGTGTTAGTAAGAACAAGAGTAGTACGGTACCCTCGTCCTGTGTCAGCATTGTTACATGATTATAGGCCAGGGGTCAACAGCTGGTATGGTCTTATTTTGCTACTTTCTGAGACCAGCTGCTGGTAAGAAAAGAGGCCAGAATTTAATCAAAAAACATTTCTAGTAGGAGACCACCAGGCTACCAAATGAAGAATGTGGATAATACTAGGATCTACATAGGCCTACTGGGATTACTAAGGTTCCAAATGTTAAATTAACATTCAGTAWGTTAATTTTAACATTCAGAAGTGAAATTAACGTTCCCAATGCCTCAATTACCATAAATTTCAATTGTTATTTTACCCGTAGTATTATATTTTTACATGTATCATCTCATGTTCCTATTTTATTTTTTCAGCATGCTTCTACACTTCAAACTGCAATGGCTCAGTGCATGAAGAAAGCACTATTACTACTATTATGATCTATCTCTAACACTGAAATCCTCAGCCTTCCCCCCTACTAAATTTTTAAATAATACTAGTAGTATATCACKTGTTTTCCCCAGCACGACTACAAGTTAAAAGAGTAATTGCAAGAAGGCCACTACCCCCCTACATCTTCACCAACTTGAGAAAGGGTGCCTATTCATTTTCATTTTGCACTCTGTATTATATTTTTTCCATAATTGAAAATAAGATATAATTAAATTGATTCATCTTTCACACATATTATGAATATAAACTTTGCTTTCAATGTTCTGAAAATTGTGGCAAACAATGAAATGATTTGTGATGCAGACTTGTGAAAAATTGATTGTGTTTGTGAATTTTGTGTTCGTTTAAYTGATTGTTTGGTTGACTTTCAATCCATGCAAGAAATACTTCACAACAATCAAAGGAGGACGCCGTCTCTCCARGTGGTTTGCGTAATGTGACATATTGGCTAGAACCCAGCGCTAGTTGTCACACAGGAGATAAAATAAAAAGACCATTTTATGAGCATTATCGTATTAAAACAATCATCAAAGGCCAGCTATGAAGGCGGCGCTGTTCATGACTACTGTGAAATCAAAAAGAGGTGTTATTTGCAAAATTTAAAAAAAAAATCAATACAGATGACTACTCCGTTCGCACAATTGAAAAAAATTAATTTCAGAAGCACAGCGTTGTACAATTTTGCAAGGCGTGATTGTTTGAACTGTGTATCGATTGTCTGAGCTAAAAACGCGGAGTGAATTAGTTCGTCCTCTTATACATTAAGAGAAAAGAGAATCTGCTCCAAAAAGCATCTTCCTTCGCTCGGGTAAGCTTAACTTTTGAATAGGATGATGCTGATTTAGTTCGGCAATACCAGCAATGAAATTTGTCGGAGGAATAGAGCTTTCCAAAAGCTCTATGCCAGTTTTGATATTTTCCATGCCGTGTTGAATAATTTCTTTCAGAGATGGAGCAGAAAGTAATTCTTTATCGATTGCTTTTTCCCACGATGAAGTTCCTTCCTTCATCCCTTGCTTTATTTTTTGTTGAAAGCGAGATATTACAGCGCATCTTCTCACTGATGAAATAATGTATAGATAAGCATGAGCCTTGACTTCATCGAGAATAAACGTGACCGCCCTAGCCAATACATTTCTCGCCGTTTCAGTAGGTCCAGAACGGCAATGAAACCAGAGAGGCCCGTAATTTGGATCGGCATTTGCGCACCGAAGTTCAAGTTTAGATATGTCAATGAGCCCAAGGCTATTGCCAGAGTGCAAACGTTCCACAACCATATCAACTGATGACTTTGTRAGAAGGGAATTCGTCGCAATTGAGTCTYGTGATTCGGCCTTTTCACCCCGTACTGAGTTGCGTATCTCATTGAGGTCTAGGAGGATTTGGAAAATATAGTTGGTAAGGTCCTCCTCCCATGTTTCATCTTTTCCACTTTGAAATTGGCCTTTGCTCTCTTCCCARATGTGAACACTAATTGGTACTAAGAGCTGATCGAGAATCACCAGACGAAGTGTTTCAAGGAATCCATCTCCGTACTGAGGAGTAAATTTCGTGGCAAAATATAGATGCCTGCTAGCCCGTTGAAGATCAAAAGTATGAGAAAAGGGGTTTAGGTGAATTCTTGCTCCTTCACACCACACTTCTCCGCTTTTTGGGACGGCGTTCAACGCCAGCGCTAGAGACTCGAACTGCGCTTCTTCAACATCAGCGAGATGACGGAGTTGAATTAGCGATGCCCACAGTCTGCCAGTTCCAGAATGTTGTTGGAGGGCCTTTTGCGAAAGTACAATGGCCTTCGAATAAGTCCCATTACGAATCGCTAACATCACACTTTCCAACCACACTTTCCAGTCAGAACCGCCGACGTTTCGGCTCCTACATAAAATTGATTTTGCCAGTTCGACATCACCCACAAACTCCTCCAGTCTCGCACACTCCAATAATGCAACAGCTCTCCCTTTATCTGGAACAACTCGATGAGCTCTGAGAAAAAGTCTTCTAGCGATATCAGAGTTGCCAGCTGCTACTTCCATCCTTCCAGCAGCAAGCCATACTTTCCATCTCAGATTGGGAGGACAGGAGACGATAGTCAACGCAAACCGTTTCCGGCTCATTTCCATTACTTGTAAAAACGTTGGATCCGTCTTCGAGTTAAGATTCTCTGTTGAAGATCGTTCCAACATTTGCGCAGCTTCTAGGTGAACTTTCCAAATCAGTTCTTTGCTGATACTAAGCGTAGCTCGATCAATCATTGCCATAGATTGCGGTAAACAGTAAGCCTTCTCTTCTAGATCAAGCTCCTCGCAGAGACGGAATGCTCCAAACCAAAGTGGTCCGTACCTCGGAATAGCGGCCAAACCGCGTTCTACAACTGCAAGTGCCTCCTTGGAACGACCAAGATCTTTTTCTAACTTGTATGCTTCAAGGTATAAAGGGCCATACCATGGCACGTGATGCATGAGGTACTTCAAAACCCGTCTTGCCATTACATCGTTTCCGGCTCTGGCTTCCAACATTGCTCCCTCGAGAACTGTTCGCCACACCTTCTCTATTCCAACATGTTTGAGTCGTGCAAGAAATTCTCTAGCTCGACCTAAGTTTCCCCTTTTCTCTTCGTGCTTGATAGCACGAGACAACAAGCTTTCGCTATACTCACAATATTCCAGACCTGCAGAGAGAATTTTGGCACATGCGTTCATATTCCCACATTCCTCCTCTAATTTGCTGAATTCCAACCATCCTTGGCTAGCATACGGTTGAAGTTTGTATACCTGCTGATACAATCTCCTTGCTTCTTCAAACCGATTGGATCTTTTGGCCAAATCAGCAAGTTCTAGATAAACTCTCCAGTGGATAGACTCAGGCAAAGAGCCATCTGATAAAGAAAGCATCGCAAAGTTTTCTGCAGCTTGGAATGATGTGCGTTCTTCGGATCGAAGCTTCCGGTAGAACTCTTTGAACGCTGACCTCGTAGCAGGACTTTCTGTCAGTTCGGCGCGCTTGGCATCTGCCGGATCTTCTGCTGCTTCGGTGGATGAAGCCGTAGCAGCAGCGTTTGATTGGTCGGTAGCGATATCTTCGACCGGAGTACTTGTCGCTCTTTCAAGATGAGTTGGTGTATTTCTATCCCTGTGTTTTTTCTTCCCTCCCTTCGCACTAGACGATGACTTCTTCCCGATTGTCGACGTCGAAGGGTTCCCTTGTGTATTCCCTCCACTTGGGCCCGTATCCATTCGCTGGAATCCCTTGTGGCTCCCGTTATCACTCTTTTGCTGGTTGTTCTTGTTGGCCCATTTCTGCGCACGAGAAAGATTCTTGGTCTTGCGTTGATTCTTCCCCCTACTTGGTGGCCGGGACGGAACAAAAGGAGATCTTTGCTGCCCAGCGTTGGAATTGAACGTATTGGCTTGCTGCAAGCCATCCCCTTGAGTTGGTGCCTGCTCCCCTTCCTGACCATTCCATGTTTGAGTTGGAGTTACCATGCCTGAAACTGCTGGAGACTCTAGTAGAACTTGTGGTGAATGATGTACCCTGTATTGCTGCATCTGCCAACCACCATGACTTGAATAAGGATTGTTAGATCTATGGCCACTGTATTGTTGATCAATGTTTGACGAAGGCTGCATTCCCTCGTACTGCAYGGACATATTCGACGCCCATGGTTGTGGGCTGGGTACGAAATGGATCGGTTGCTGTGATACAGCTTGGCCTCGAGGGGCGTTGGCATTAAGCATMGCATCCGGTGCTAATGAAGCACCATGATGATTATGCATATTGGCGGGCGCGCCCATTTGGTATCCAGCATTCGGGTGGTGAGAAAAGCTCAAGGTCGGACTATGGCTCAAAGGAGGAGGGTGATTGCCGGTGTTCGCAGGAAACATCGTATTGTGAGGATGCTGACCGCTTTCCGCAAAATGTGGCACCACAGTTTGAAAAGTCGAGGTATGACCAAAGGTGGGCGTTCCTTGAAAGTATGGGACTGGTGTAGGCATCGGATGCACCTGTGGCGGATTGGCAAAGCTTACTCCGAAGGCGGGTGATCCCGTTGCAAAAGGGCGGTATTGTACAGATGTATCAAAACCGGGATTTCCCTGTTGGTTCGAGCCAACAAACGGGCCAGACACGGGTGGAGGAGGAAGTTGTCGTTGTTGCTGTTGGGTAGTAACGGCAGGCGTACTTCCAGCGAGCTTCGCCGGGGGAGAAAATGCCCCACCAAAGTTGAGTGCAGGTGCATTCATATCAACGTGACCCTGTTGCTGCCTAGCAAATTCCCCGAAAGACGACGTTCCTTGCCCTAAAATGCCACTACCAAACGAAAAGTCTGGTGCAGATGGGTCGTAGGATGAGGTGGTGGTATTCGAGTTTCGATTCCCGCCAGAGTTCCTATCAAAAGGTTKCGGCTGCATCTTTCGGACAGGGGTGGGGGCATGGGGGAGAAAGCTGTTTCCACCCGGACGGTAGAACGACGCCGAGGAAGATAGCGATGACGAAGCCGTTCTATCCGTTCCCCCGCGCGATCTTCCGGCTCTGTCCAGCCTAGATTTGCGCCCTCGATGGGCGTTCCGGGGTACTCTTGACGGTTGGTGCTGATTTTGCTCCATGTTYACAATGAAAGGAGTTGTCCAGCTTTCAGTGATGCTTGTGGTTCTATCATTGAGATCTCCTCTGCTACTTGTGTTACTTGTCGAAGGACCCTTATCTGCAGAGGAAGAGGAGGTTCCGCTGCGAAAGACAAACTGGCTAATTTTTTGAGTCTCATCGGAATTGTCATCGTCTTCTAGCAGCAAATTCCCAAGGTCTTCGGTGAGACGCAATGTATTCGGAGAATACAAATTCCGTCCTTCGCTGGGGATGTGATCTTGTTGCTTTTGTTGGGGAGCTTTCGACCAGGGTGAATCCAGAGAGCTGTTCTTGGTAGTGCTACCACCCGAGGTCGTGCTTGGATCCTTGCTGCTCAAAGACCTCGCGGAAGCAGTCCGGTCGCTATCCAACCCTCTTTCCCTAGTGGCCAATGGCGACGACAAGGTCAAGCCAAATCCAAGGCCGGATACATCCGTTCCTTGGGAAGCGCGGTTCGTGTCTTGTGGAAGTTTCGTAGGGCTAGGAGCAGCGCCACCTGCCAAAGCAGAKGCATGCATCTTGCTTGCACCAGGCGTTCGTCGCATGCTTTCCCTTTCGAAACTATCGCTCCTTTCGGGGTGTGATTGAGAGTCACTTGCCGTGGAGGCTGCTTGGTTTTKATTCGWAGCCTCGTAGTTCGATCGGTACATCATTGCACCGGGAGTGCGGCGTACCGATCCGGCTTCGTTCACGTTCAAGGTCATGTTCATCGCACCGAAACGACTGCGAGGATTGTAGTAGATGCTTGCAGTATCAGGAGTGCGAGAATGGGATCCTATGGGAGCAGAAGCATTCCGTCGTATTCTYTCATATTCCAGTTTCACCATCTCGCGCTCTTCCTCTTCGTTTTCGTAGATATCGACCTCATCAATCAGTGTGGGTGTTGATAAATCTACGAACTTCGGAGCCTCKTTCCCCCCCCTGATGAAACGACCCCCTTCGGCATTCTTGCCTTCGTCCTGACCCATATCGTTGCCCCGATCTTCCCCTTGATTGCAGTTGCAGCAATAGTCTGCCATGTCGTCCTCGTAAAACGAGTCTCCTACGGCTATCGGAGGGCGTGTTTCGCCCCCAGAGATTTTATCATCTGCCTTTCTACCCCCCATGTCGCTATCGTTGTTGCCACTTTTRCTACAGTTGTTATTACGGGTGTTGTTCGAGTAGCTACACATCCCATCGCAATACATGCYGCTGCAGCGGCCATCCCGGTACGCTCTCTGCGGTGAATTTTTCACGTTGGAATGCACGCGACGCGAGCGCGTAGCCGCAGTAAAATCCATAGATGCAGCAGCTCCCTCCGCTGCACTCAAGCTGCTTCCACCTTCTCTCGGTTCCATTTTAGTTCGTTGTCGTCTAGTCTAGTCTAGACTACTGGACCGAATTGGACCGTCCCTGGACTGCCTCAACACAACAGAACTAAATAGTGCCGTCGATACAACCCACGGTCTGGTCTCTCCTTCCACCTTCCAGCAACACAACAACGAACACGATAATTTTAATACGGTCTGATGGACAGGTAGATGGGAGGTTAGGATCGAGAGCATAGCCGGCTCTCATGTAAAGAGAGCTCTACCATGGTAATTTTTCTGTGTACGTTGAACACATGGTGGATGGGTCTGCGCGCATATGCCAGCCGAAAATAATAGCTGGAAGTGGAAGCAGTAGAAAGAGTAGGAAGTTCGCACGCGTCATGTTTCTGTCTTCCCATCGTTTTTCTCCTAATTTGTCACCTCCGCTTATTTAGACCTCTCATAAGAGCTACCAATTTTTGCCATACACTCCCCACTGTTAGCTGGAGTATCACAGTGCTAGTCGGATCACGCCAAAGCGAGACGGTTCGTAAAAAAGTAAAATCTGCTCACGAGTATCCGTGAATGAAATATTTACGTTCGGTGGCTCATCCCAACGACAACCACCAATCGCTTTCTTTTAGGGAATAGTTTCTTTTCAGGAAACACGAACTTTTTTTCAGATTTTGTCTCACGAACAAGCACTTCGCTCCCCTACCCGTAGAGTAGACATCTCTTGCTTGTCACATTCGCACTAAGTGKTTTYCTWMAGAAGCCCTGAACTCACCACAGTTTCGTTAGCTTTTGGGATAACACCCAACAAGAACCATCTTTCAGGAGCAAGAAGGATAATTGGTTGATCAMTACTGCCTTAMGTCTTATTTTGATTCGCAGTATCAACGTCAATTGCAATGGCGTCTTCCATCCTCGACCCGAACGAAACATTTTCGTCGCTCGCTGAATCGGTCGGACTCGACAACCGTATCCGAAAGGCCGTTCAAAGACTTGGTCACATTCGCCCCACACTTGTACAATCCAAGTGCCTTCCCCTGGCGATCTCTTCCGGACGCGATCTGCTTGTCAGAGCAAAGACGGGATCTGGAAAGACCCTGGCGTATTGCCTGCCTCTGTTGCAGAAAATTCTTCGATCCTCCGAATCGTCGAACCATACTCCAGGGGTTCGGGCCATCGTCCTAGTTCCCACACGAGAGCTTTGTTCGCAGGTKTTCAAAACCCTGCAATCCCTGGTCTACTATTGCGACGAGGTAGTCTCTCTGGCGGTTCTAAGCGCAACCCGAACGGGTGGGCGCGGGGACAAGGCGCACCAAGAACTGGCGCGGCAAAAGGCAATGCTRCGAGATCGACCGGACGTGATTGTGGCTACTCCCGCTGGTTTGCTAACACACATCCGGAACGGTGATGTYAATCTTAAGGATTCGATGGAAACCCTGGTGGTCGACGAGGCAGATTTGGTACTTTCTTATGGTAAGAATCGATAATGCACGAGAAAAGAAAACTGCDGTGTGTTCGGAGAGAAAGTGCAAGTGTRGCCCGGGTGACGATCATCGGTTGACCTTTTCATTGCGATCTACTTTGCTGGAACGTTCTCGGCTGCTACCGATTTCATTTTTCTTCTCGTCGTCGTATCCTAACCATTTTTGTGACTGCCTTTCTCTCAATCAACAAAAAAAACGWATCAATCGAATACGATCAACTCTGTAAYTAAAGGCTACAAGGATGACATTTCAGAAATCATTCGCTCCTTGCCACGAATTTGTCAGGGTTTTCTCATGTCTGCCACACTGTCTCCAGAGCTCAATTCGTTGAAAAAGGTTGTTTTGCATTCGCCGGTCGTGCTGAAATTGGAAAACGACGAGGCAAACAAGAACGATGGAAGTGGACATTTGACTCAATTTTATTTACAGCTACCTCGAAAAGACAAAAACTTGGTTTTGTATGTCTTCCTCAAACTCGGATTGCTAAAGGGAAAGGGGATATTTTTTGTCAACTCAACAGACATGGGCTATAGACTCAAACTCTTTTTGGAACAGTTCCATATTCGATCGTCTGTTTTGAATGCCGARCTCCCGTTTCGGAGTAGGTTGAATATMATMGAACAGTTCAACGTTGGAAACTTYGATTACTTGATTGCCACCGACGAAAGCACGGATGCAGTYGACACAGACGACGAAGAAGACGAAAGCGACAACGACGATAGAGACGACAGTGACGACGACAGTGACGCACCACAAAAAGCAAAAGGCAAGAAGAAAGACGATGAATACGGAGTTTCGCGTGGATTGGACTTTCGCAATGTATCCTTCGTGGTCAATGTAGACTTTCCTCCATCTGCGAGATCCTATGCCCATCGTGTCGGCAGAACAGCTCGTGGAGGAGCGAAAGGAGTCGCTTTGAGTTTGGTGGAAAAGGATTCTTATGACCAGTACGAAGTCCTACAAGCAGTTCAAGACGACCAACCAAAAATTTCAAACGCTGGAGCCGCTACCGATACCCTTCAATCGTCAACAGCGGAATCGGCGGATGCTTCGAATGACACTCATTTAAATGAGCAATCTCAACCATCACCACTCGACTTTGACTTGCGCGAAATTGAGGGATTTCGGTACCGAGTAGAAGATGTTTCGAGAGCGGTCACCAAACATTCCATCAAGGAAGCCCGTGCAGCAGAGCTCCGTGCGGAAATTCTCAATTCGGAACGCCTCCAGGCTCACTTCGAGGACAACCCGAACGACTTACAACTCCTGCGTCATGATCGCCTTGCAACGCATGCATCGAAAGTACAAGAGCACCTAAAGTACGTAACCTTTCCCCSATGTGCGAGTTTTAACATGCATCGCCTGGAATCGTTCTTSTCAGATTTTTACATCGTTTTAACATCTTTTTCATGTGTATTTGTTTTTGACGAATCAACAGGCATATTCCAAAATACTTGCTCCCAAGAGGTATGCATGTAGCAGATTTGAATCGCAAACGTAAAAAGAGGAAGAACAGGGGAGGGAAGCAGCGTCGTTCTGCTAAGGATCCCCTTCAGTCATTCAGCGACGGAGATGTGAATCTAGACGGCCTTGAAGGTGACGACTTTGAGCTACCTGACTTAGGTGAAGAAGGGCGAAGCGAGAAGAAACAAAAACGAGAAGAAGAGAAGAAAACGTTCATGAATACCCATGATGGAACCGGGAAGAGCACTTCTGGTCGTAACGCATGGAAAGAAAAACATAGAAAGGGTAAATTTTCCAAAAAGACACGTTTGGCTGACAGGAAAAACAAGGATCCTCTGGGGATTTAGGTTCGGGTAAAAAGCGGTCAAACTTGGTGCCGGTGTATTCTTAACACAACATTCTAAGTTAGCTATATCTAAACAAAACTTGTTCATTGGGTTATTCATTATCTGTAGCAATGATTACAAGGATAGGTGCATCACTTGAAAATGTTTTGCTCTGATCCATATTTTTGTTAATGTTGATACAGAACATACACCTTTGAGATATCTCAAACGATAACAACTGAAACAAAATCTATTTTCAAGGAACTTAATGATTATGGGTTTCTAAAGAGTGTAAACAGCAAAAGTATGTTTCGAAAGACTTCATTACAGTACCTCTGTTTAATGGGGATTTGCATCAAGCTGGTRGCATTTGCTCTAGATCAAATGTAAGTAATCATCCCACTAGTACATGTCAATACCAGTCTTTTGCTGTATGAATGGATAAAGAATGGATTAATGCATTTGTGTACTAGCTAAGGGGACAGTCACCAAAACTAAACATACTCCTAGTAGTAGTATCACCAATAGTAGTAGGCATAACTTGATTGCCAGCACAACAAATACAACAAAAATTAAGAGGCAGTAGTAGATGCAAAAGAGTCAAGAAGGGAGAATAAGTGTGGTGTTGTGAACAAGCAGGCTTGCTCAAGTACTCTTGTTGTTGTTGTTGTTTAAAGAACTACTATTCTAGTAGTAGTAGCAGCAGTAGTAGTAGCAGTAGTAGTACTACGTCACACAAACCGACATAATGGTTCCTCAAGTTTCCTACTACTAGTAGTAGTACTAGTACTACTAGTACTGGTAGTAGTAGTAGTAGTGTTCCATGCACTGTCATGAACAAGACCCTTCTTCTTGTTCTTTCTTGATTACTTCTACTTCTTTTGGAAAAGTACTTCATGTAATTATGCAAGTTCTTCTACTCCACATTGTTGCAGGTTTCTTATGCCTTCACATTCCCAGTTTCTGATTGATCGATTCCTTGACTACTTCGATTCAATTTGGTAAGAACAGGGCAATCTTTGCGAAATGTACGGATACTCTTTAGTGTGGTATAATACGGTGATTACAATAAAGAGTGAGAGTGAGTGGTTGAGATTGCTGCTCACTCACTATCTACTCGTGATTTACGTGGTTTACTACGTGGTACTGCCTCACACCACCCCGCACTTGCAGAATCTAGGGACTCACTCGATTCAAATTTACTCTTAAGTAGTAAATTTTGAAGAGGGTCTAGATTCCTGCAAGTGGAGCAGAATGACATTGTGTTGATTGTCGTGTCCGCTGTTGTTGTTGGGATAGTGGCTTTATCCTCAACAAATGGGGTGTGTTGGGTGGTTAACAAGGGGGAGTATGTGTAGTCTGGTCGTAGCTGTCCCATGAATATATCTGAATGTTCCAGGAACTTGGTCCGTCCAGTTGGTTTGCTCAGTAAATTGCTGTAATTTTCATCAGATCGTGTTTCAATGAAGTTAATGTGCTCATCATCTGTCCATTGTAGTATAACAAAGTGTTTCATCTCTACGTGTCTTGTTCTTCTAGTTGGTTGATGGGCATTTGCCATTTGTACTGCACCATGGTTATCAGCTATAATTGGTGTTGATTTTGTTTGCGGAATCCAGAGTTCTTCCATGATCCATCTTAAGTATAAAGCAGCTTTTCCAGCATCTGCCATGTTAGTGAATTCTGCTTCTGTGGAGCTTTGGGCTATAGTTGGTTGCAATCTGGTTCTATAATAAACTGCAGCACCTGCCAGCATCATTATAATTCCCCCCATACTCCTCCGTTGAAGTCGATCAGAGGCCCAAGTTGTATCACATGAGCCGTGTATTTGTAGGGGATCCATGGTCTGGTAAAATTTAGATAGGATGTTGGCGTTCGTATATGGTGTTGGTAGAGGCATGTCTGGGAGATCCATTCGCGGTTTGGGGCGCCAGTATGTGAGTCCGTCCTCCTTGGTAATCAGTAGGTAGAGGAATAGCTGCTTTATTGCTTCAAAGTGTATTTTGGCCGGTGAGTGTGAGTGTTGACTAAGGGTGATAACGGCGAGAGAAATGTCCACACGGCAAATTGTGAGGGCATAGATTAATTCTCCTATACACTGGCGATAATTGAAGCCCATTGATTGTTGTAGCTTATACGCGTCGATTGGGTCTTCCGGGCCCTCTGATAGCTGTATTTGTTTCTGATATGTGGCACTCTCATTCATTGGTGTGGGTCTCATTCGTGTCTGTCTCTTAGCTTCATTTAAGTCCCAGCCGTGGTGAGCTGATATCTTTTTGATATAAGTGCAACAGTGTAAGTGATTGTAGTGTCGGGTTTGATTTACATGAATCCCATTGAATTTTCTGATAGTACCAAGTATGTTGAGGGGATTGGTCATTCTATCCTGGATTAATTGCCTTATGTTGTCACATACGGATTCGTCAGCATTGGCTATTAGGAAGTCGTCGACTTGCCTGAGGATGAGTGTGAGGCCTGTGTTATCATGTTTATAGTACAAGCATGGTTCGTGTGTGGTTGTCTTAAATCCAAGTTCTTTGGTGAGAATGCCTGTAATATACTTATCCCATAGCCGTGGTGCTTCTGGGTGGCCTTGCAGTGCTTTTTGAACAGGGATGACTTGGTTGGGATGAATGGGCTCATTGTGTAGGCATTCAGTCCACCATTGCTGAAAGGGCTCATCTACTTTCATGAAGAATGGGGATTTAGGCGGTGGTGCTTCTGCAAAGGCATTCCCAACGTCATAACCCACACAGATGAGGTTAAGTGCTGCTGATATTGCCCAGGTGAGTCTGTGGATTGGCTGTTCGACACATGCTGCATATGTTTCAGCTAGGGTAACGGCCTTTCTGTACCTTTTTCCACCATTGCATGTGCCCCGCGATTTAGGCTCATTGGCGCCTGTTAACGGGTTCTCTTTTTCAATATATGTCCAGACCCACGGAAGAATTGTCATATCTGGTGTTGCATTTACTGGATCCCCAAACATTCCTACTTTGTGGTACCAGTTAAGTTGTTTCCATTCAGATTGTAGGAATCCATCCCATTGTGATGTTTGCATGAGTTTCCGTCGAGTTAGTTTCGATATCTGTATTTGTGTTGNAGGGACGACGTTATTGATTACTTGAAATCAGACGCTGTAAGGAAGCCTCATTCAATCTCCTGTGAAGCACACGCCGACAAAATTGAGAGATGCTGCTCCAGAGCCAACATTCTTCATGGCGTCTGCGAACCCCTATCAGAAAGAGAGATCAGACAGATCCTTTTCAAATCCTTCCCCAAAGCCTGGCAGAACAACTACAAGAAGTGTGGGAGAGATATCTTGAGGGACACGACTGAAGAAATCATAGAGTTCATGGCTGAACAAAAAGGAATGGCAGATGAAGAACAGCAGCAACGTTCGAGAAAAAGACCAGCAGATGATACTACAGATACTAATGCAAGACAATGTGGAAGGAACAATGGAAAGCAACAAAGAAGAGGAAACAACAACAACAACAACAATAGAAACAGACAAAATGAGACCCTGGAAGAGAGACGGAATAGAATTAATGCAACACCTTGTAGAATACACAAGGGGCAACATCTGTGGGGTGAGTGTCGGTTCAACAAAGAGGGTTACAACCAAGGCAGTAACAATGATAATAATCGGAGTAACAGCAACGGAGGAAGCCAGGGAAATTCAAATGCAAACAACAGCAGTATGCGGTTCCCTCCAGGATTATATTATATGGATGAACATGGAAACATGAAACCACAATCGATGCAGATCCAAACTCAGAATTACCATGGCTCCAACTCCAGTGGTCCTCCAAGCCATGTATCATTACAGTCCCACAGTAATCCGGGCTCAACGATTCAATTCTAAGGACAAGGCCAAGGACCAAATCAACAGTGGTGACATTCAAGCGAGGCTTACTTTGCATTGCCTCCACCACCGTTCACTCGATCAAATAGCCTTGAGCTTTATGGTCTTGATAATGATGAAGCTCTTAAGAATCCATCGGCAACCACCTTGAGAGCTCTGAAAACACCACCGAATATGCAAGACGTACTACCAGTGGTCATCCTAGTATGCAAAGCCATCCAAGACTTACCGATTATGAATACATTCAAGGTTCTACTAGATAGTGGGAGTACAATGTGTCTCATTCACGAGCGCTGCCTTCCACCAGGAACAACCCCATTTCAGGACAGATTCAGCTCAGTCACTACAACGGCTCAGGGAAGTTTTGATACATCCAAGTACGTCTTCATTTCCAATATTCGGCTCCCTGAGTTTGGCAACGGCAAATATACCAGAGGAATCAATGCAAGGCTCTTTTCAGCCCCTTGCAAATATGACATGATTCTAGGAAGGGACTTTCTAATGATGACTGGAATAGACCTCNAGTTCTTTGGTGAGAATGCCTGTAATATACTTATCCCATAGCCGTGGTGCTTCTGGGTGGCCTTGCAGTGCTTTTTGAACAGGGATGACTTGGTTGGGATGAATGGGCTCATTGTGTAGGCATTCAGTCCACCATTGCTGAAAGGGCTCATCTACTTTCATGAAGAATGGGGATTTAGGCGGTGGTGCTTCTGCAAAGGCATTCCCAACGTCATAACCCACACAGATGAGGTTAAGTGCTGCTGATATTGCCCAGGTGAGTCTGTGGATTGGCTGTTCGACACATGCTGCATATGTTTCAGCTAGGGTAACGGCCTTTCTGTACCTTTTTCCACCATTGCATGTGCCCCGCGATTTAGGCTCATTGGCGCCTGTTAACGGGTTCTCTTTTTCAATATATGTCCAGACCCACGGAAGAATTGTCATATCTGGTGTTGCATTTACTGGATCCCCAAACATTCCTACTTTGTGGTACCAGTTAAGTTGTTTCCATTCAGATTGTAGGAATCCATCCCATTGTGATGTTTGCATGAGTTTCCGTCGAGTTAGTTTCGATATCTGTATTTGTGTTGCTGTAGTCTCAGGCAAATCAATCGGTTGTGGCCAATCCTGTTTGTTTTGCCATAGGTCTTGCTGATGATTGAGGGAGTGAAGGTGATGGGCTATAACATTTAGTTGGTCTGCTTGGAGTGT